CTGAACTATAGTCCAGTACTATAGATATCTAAGCATGGAAATGCCGGGTTGTTTTGTTCTTTTAAGTAACAAAACATCTACACATTCCCTGCATGTCCTGAGGGCTTCAGATGGGAAGGATACAATGAACATGTCTGCTAGGTCAGCCTCTACACAGCACTGTGAAGAGAGCCATTCCCAGCCTTTCATTGCATAACTCAATATTCAGCCAGGCTTTGGTAACCACCTTGACCTGAGGGATCACCAGCCCACACCCACATCTCCCAGCACTAAGCCATGGACTTCAACACTTCCTCTCTATGAGGCAGTTTTATTTTGCATGAAATCGTTTAAGAAGTATTAGGCAGGAGCAAGAATCATTATGATGATACTGCTTAGAAGTCAGGGCCAGAGATTAAGTTAAGTGTAGAGGAGAAGAAAGGGACATGGCAATTTAGTCCCCGCCTAAATATTGTTTTCTGATATATTTAGGTTATTACTGGAGAGGTTTTTCCTGCCCCTTAAATGACTATCAATCACTGATAAAAGGGGGATAACAGCATAACAACCCTCATGGAAATTTACTGTCTTCTAAAAGAAAGGATTTCCCAGTTGATTTTTGACAGAATGTCCTAAGACTTGGCATGCATGTGCCTCTGAGTAAATCTAGTCTTTTCTCCCTGTCCTTGGAATAGATACAGGCAAGACTGCTCCTAGGGATATCACACAGCTCAAACGTCTTGGTTAGCAAATGGGGAGCAGATGCAGTGCTAAATAAACAAGCTGGTGGCTATTTGTTTTAATCTGAGACAGGGCAACTTGACAGTGTTAGAGCAGGTAAAACAGTTTGAGCTGGGTCTTGTAAAAAGATAATAATTTAAATAACAATTTTCTCACTTTTTCTAGCTGTCCACCTTCTGCTCTTGTGAAGGAAATGCTAAGTAGTGCACAGAGGCTGACCTTCTATGAATTCCTGATGGCACTTGCAAAGGATCAGAGGATCAACAGAGCTCTAGGTAAGACTCCTGTGAATGGTACAGATCTAGATTTTGAGTCATTCAGCATTTCTGTGGAATTACCTCTGTAAGTATGCCCCAGATTTTACTAGCAGAACCGTTGTTTTAATATGTTTGACTATAAAGGTTGGTCAGAGGTGCTCAGGAGACAAGTCAGGTGCCTGACTGCTATCGACAGTGCTGAATTGAAGTCTCATTGTATGTTTAGCACCTTCAAGTGGCTTCTGGCCTCCACAAGAAAATGAGGCATAAATTAATGGGAAAACCTCTGCTGCCTCCTTGGCGCAAAGACTCAAAGCCCAGTCTTTCCAAGCTCTTCCCTATCTTCCCTCAAGGCAGTGTGATCTTGGTAGTACATTAATCTATGACCTGCTGAAAATCTGGTGGTATCATAAAACACGAACCACTACAAAATTCTGTACCAAACTGCTGTGGGGACCAGAAGGCTTATCAAGCAGCATCTCACTGCTTATGTCCATGTTATGCTGGTCAATATTGTTCTAGGGCAAGGAAGCAAAATGTTGCATTGACAAAGGACAGTCTGTAATCCATACATAATTCAGACTCACAATTCCATAATGTTCCCATATGTATTGCTTGTGCTCTTCCTCTTCTTGCAAAAGGGGAGCAGAAAAGGCTTTTTGTGTTTGACAAGGCTGCATCCAGGAGGATACTCATCTCCACTCTGCAAGTCATCTGGCCAGTAAGGGTAGGCTTTCTCTGTCTTTGGGTAGTTATCCTCTCCCTTTACTTCTAGGCTCGAGTATCTTCCCATCCTTATATTACAAAGGCAAACCTCAGTGAAAAGATGTACTTTGCCTGAGGGCTGGTTCTTTTGCACAGGTATGTGCCACAGCAGAATAGAAGTGTCCCCTCCCTGGCTGAGCCCCTTCTTACAGCAAACCATTTAAGCTGTGAATGCTCTTCTGGGGCAGGGCTGCTTACCCAGCAACATGGAGATTATATATCAAAGGTGCATGAACACAGCCCTGCAATCCCCTCTGCAAACAGGCTTAGGAAGCAGTGCATTCACTGGGGAAGGTGGTGCCTGGGGTGCAGCAGGCAAAATATTTTTTTCATTTGTCCTATGAAATCCACTTCTAGTCAAGTGCAAAGAAAACAGGTGAGCAGAAAAGAAGACTCCTGCCCACAGCTTCCATTGTGCCATCTACAAAGTTCGTGGGTTTTCATTTCCATTAATGTGGGCCCATCCCCTGGCCCTCTGCCAGTCTCCTGCTGAGGCCTCTCACAGAGGCGGAGCAGCAGCCACAAGTCTGACAGGTGCTAGCATCTTGGCAAGGAAAGGAGGATTCTTTTCTTGCTGTCTTTTAATCTCTCCTGAAGGGTGATTTCAATAGTCACAGAATCATAGAACCATTCAGGTTGGAAAAGACCTTTGGGATCACCGAGTCCAACCATCATCCCTACTCTACAAAGTTCTCCCTTAAACCATATCCACCAACACCACATCCAAATGACCCTTAAACACATCCAGGCATGGTGACTCAGCC